ATTGTTTCAGCATTGATAACCTTACATTAAATTAGGATAAAATACTTGACAAAATGTAATCTAGGAAGCTTCCAGCCTTGAAAATGCAGCTTAAGTCATTAGAAATGGTCACCTCAGCAACAGCAAAAGCCGATTTGTGTTCAGCCTATAAAGTTCGATTTATGAGAGTCATCTTGCTCAATGGTTCTCCTTTGACCTCTTACAAATGCAGACCTCTAAGAGGTCAAAGCGTAATGAGTGTCTTTCTCTCTGCTGAAATAATTAAAAGGCACAAGCGACTGGCTTTTGCTTTTCTGTTGAGACAGTGTCCTCAGGTTGAACTCAAACCACCAGAGAGGATCGGTCCATGCCTGCTTCGTAACCAGGGGCCTCATTTATAAAATGTTTATAAAATCCACGGCAATGTTGAAATTGATAAAAACGGTCTTTGACGTGAAAAAGTGCTTAGCACCACATCCGTTTCTAAGCAGGAGTACACACTTTTCCTTATGGCAGAGTCTTGCCACTTGCCATTCTCAAGTAAAGGATTCGGATGTTGACTGGTGCTCTTTATATAATAATGACATTAATTAAATGATCTTAGATTAAATGTCGACATTTTTTGCATGAAGCACAGTCGTTTTTTAGCAAGTGCTCAGTCCCTTACCTACTTTCATATTGTTTTCATCTATCCATCCATTCTCCAAACTGCTTATCCTCTGGGTAACAAGTATCCTGAAACAGTGTCTTGGGCCACATTCATCATGAACAAACATCATTTACAGCACATCTCAATTCACTGTGCCTTTTGTGATGGAAATAAACTGTTGGAATAAATTGTTGGAATAAACTGGCCAATTCTTTATCTTGCCAAGGCTAATTTCATATCTATTATGTTATGTAAACTAAAAACGTTTTGCATAATATTACAAAATTTTATCAAATCATATATTGTAAATCAGTAGTATGTATCGTCCCCACGTGCCTATATGCACTCCTGACAACATCTAGGCATGCTCCTGATGAGATGGTGGATGGTGTCCGGGGGGATCTCCTCCGAGACCTGGATCAGGCTTCAGTGAGCTCCTAGACAGTCTGGTGCTACTCCAGATTCTTTCACATCTGTCACATGTACTCAATGTGAACCTGCTCTTAATCATGAGGAGACTGGAGCACCAATGGCAGACCTGCCAATTCTGGTGTTCTTCTGCAAATTATGCCAATCGAGCTGCATGGTGCTGGGTTGTGAGCATAGGTCCCACTAGAGGGCGTCAGACCCTCCAGCCACCCTCATGGAGTCTGTTTCTTACAGTTTGGTTTAGAAATATGCACACCAGTAGCTTGCTGGAGGTCATTTTGTAGGGCTTTGGCAGTGCCTCTCCTGTTCTTCTTTCTGTGCTGCTGGGTTGTTGCCTTTCTACGGCCCTGTCCAGCTCTGCTCTGATGACACGTATGCATATACCATCTTAGAGGAGATGGACTACCTGTGCAACGTGATTGGGGTGCAGGTACTTCGTCATGGTACAAGTACTGAGAAAGACCCTGACAAACACAAAACTAGTGACAACTCAGTCAGGAAGGCTAAAGAGAGAACGATTGTCTTTGGACACCACCTGCAAAACAATTGCCTTTTTGGGCAATGACTAACTAAACTAGTAAAACTGTGCATCTTGGCAATGTAATTTGAATACATTTACTAAAATGGAATGTTTCATATTGACAAATAATACAGAAGCATAGTTACAGAGAGAGAAATCTGAAAGGCAATTACATTCAACAGTTTTTAAACCCAAAAACATCTCACAATATAGCAACAGTTATAATGCAGTGAGACGGAACTATTCTACTCAATTTTAGGTTATGACTTTTGAAGTTTACAGTATTATTCTTAGTCTGTGGAATTAATAAATAACAACAACTTAATGAATTAAAAAAAGTTTACAAGTTTACACACACACACACACACACACACGGATATCTAAATGAGGACATTTAATAGACTTCTTTTGTTTTTATACTGAGCTAATTATAAATACTATAACAAATAACCCCATTATATACCCCATCAAAAATGTTGTCTGTATTTTTAGATTTTCTTCTTTGTGGTGGTTTTTCGAAGGTGCTTAGGCATCTATTGTATCCATTAGATTTCTTCTTCTTCCACTCTGGAAGTCTACAGCCCATAGAACCGCTTGCGGAAAAGTTATGAAATTTGGCACAAGACAGTCTCAACATTAACCATAGTGAGTTTGTCGTCTCTAAATCAAACCCTCTAGTGCCACCAACAACTCAAAGTTGCACTCATGTTCATGCAAATAACTTTAGAACCGTAAAGTTTAGACACAAAATTATTTTTTTCCCTCTGATTTCTTGGCTTATGTTGAGTCGAATACTGTCTTAGGCCGGTTTCACACCGCACGCTTAAGCAGAGCAGAGGCAGCGCAGAAGCGGCGCGTATGCAGAGCGGGAGCAGCGCGCGCCCATTGTGCTTTCACACTGGCAGCGTTTGTCGCGCAGCTGAACCGTGGCTTGTGTACTGCAAATACAGACGAGTATCGTTCATTCAGTCACGCTTTTCAGGTGTTCTCTGACAACTGTCTGTCATGATTTGATATGGGCAGCATGCTGTGATGCGGCCGTGTTCCCCCCTGTCACGTGCATATAACATGCTGTACATATACCGTATTGGCCCGAATATAAGACGACCCCCCTTTTTCCAGATGTACCTTTTGGAAAAAGGCTTTTTAAAAAACAAATCTTGTTTTTTCTCAGTAAAATACATTTTGTCTTCAATTATTTTCATATTGCATATTTTTCCTATTTTAATTTTTGTTTTGAAAGTATGGTAAAAACTGGTAAAATGTACCAACAATCACATTTAAAAAATATACACTTTTTGATATACTATTAAAAAAAACAAAACAGGTAGCCCATCTGAATTAGGACATTTAGGCTAGCCATCTAATAGTAAGTAGCCCACCAATATCTTATTAACAGTAGAAGTTAAATCTTACTGTAGTCTTCAAATCTGGGTACTGTCTTACGTTTTAAAATCACAAAGGGAGTTTAGTTTCATCAGGCTAACGTGACAGTCAAGACTCATGCAGCTGTAAGGTTTTCTTTTTCTTTAGTTTTTACTCGCGATCTTTTACAACACTCATTACATTACGTATTTCATGGCACACTCGTTTTATGCGTATTTGGCGCCACCTATTGTTGTGGGTGTATTATTGACATGTCAAAGTCTAGACCCTGAATATAAAAGACGACCGCGTTTTTTCAGATGTATTTCCAAGAAAAAAACATCGTCTTATATTCGGGTCAATACGGTAGTTTACGTGATAAAAAGTAATCTTAAAGTTAATAAATGCCTCTAGTTTTAATAATTTAAACAGGCCTTTGAAGTTTGGGCAATAACTCCTGGCAGTGATGTGTTTTCGTAGTTGATTCTGTGCCAACTCTAATATTTTTTCTTTCTTTTTTTTAATGTTTTAGATTTAAGTAGCAAATGAGAATCGCTAAATTTATTGAATATATTTTGAGACAAAGGTCTTCCTAATGATTATCAGTTTGGTTTAAGATAATTAAAGCAACAGTTTTTCAATAACTAGAAGAATATGTTAAAGTATGGTATTTGGGGTAAAAGCGCCCCAGATAGCAAAATGACTCCGGAGCGGATCCGCCCCGGAGTCACCACAAGCTCCGGAACGGATCCGCAAAACGGGTCCGTATCGGAGTCCACTTGCACAGCGCAACGGATCCGCAACAGACCCTACCCGTATCCGCTAATAAAGCGGGTCATCCGGCCCGGATCCGATCCGGACCCGTTGATGAAGAAACGGATCCGAACCGGATCCGATCTGGACCCGTTCATTTAGTGGGTCTATACCTTTTTTAAAATGGGTAATCTGGCCAAAACTAGCTATGGAAATACCTAAAATAGAGCCAACAATCATAGACTAGACTGCTCTATAAAAGTGTAATATGTCTCCCTTTATTAATATTAATAAACCAATCATTCAAAACTTGAAAAAATCTAAACTTTCCTTGGCCAGTAATAATGAAACACTCTATAAAAAGTAGGTAATTACATAAAGAAAAATACAAAATATAATGCAACCACAAATGGTACAAAAACATTGTTTTATTTAATGAAAAACTTTACCTCTAAAAAGACAATTCAGTTCAATAACTTTGTAAAGTTAATATTTACGAATGAATTAGTTCAATTCAGCCATAAGGAATTTTATAGCACACAAAAGTTTCATTATTCACTTTGTGTCAGCTTGATGTTGATTTAATAAAACCAGGAGCAGTCAGCTCAGCTCTCCTCTGGATAAATGAACAAAGATGGGGTGATTATGATTTCAGGCTGCATCACTAATGAGATTGTGGACTAATGTCATTCAGAATATTTCATCCAGCTCCTACTGCTTGAAGATCAGGATACGTCACGCTGTCATTTGGTTGGAGGAGAAGTTGTAGTCTGTCCAGCAGGGCTGCTGTTTAGCCAGTAGTGGACGGCTTGTTTAACAGTGACTGTAAGCATGATAAAACTGCATTGTGTTCCTAGCAGCTCCTGGCCTGCCACGTTCATTGCTGGCCATAGGGGTCTGTGCAAAGGACTTGTCTGTACATTCAGAGCTGCGTTGTGGTTGTCTCAGGGTGCAGGTCCATCATCTGATCTGGATACAGACCAGATCCGGCTGACTATGATAACCTTACGACAAGAGTGTGACAAAAACATTGAAATAAGTAACAAGTATCGGTGTTGACTTTTTCTCACAGAACCTGTAATCACACAAGCACATTTTCATACAAAATTTCATGACATCTTAGCAAAGATTACTGTTAAATGTAGGATGTAAAAGTAGGTTATTACACGTTAAAAGCTGAATGAAGTGTGTATCATTGTCAGTATTTGACAAACTAGTTGGCTAAATCAAGTTTAAAACTCTTTAAAAAAAATACTCTTTTAAAAAGTAATTTAATCTTACTTTTAAAGATGAAGTAGAATATCAAAGGATGATGTAGAATCAAAAACCAGACTGGAGCACTTGAATGAGCTGTAAAGCTGCAACAGAACACACACACAGTATCTTAGTATGTTTTAATTTCATATAAATGATCTGAAACAACATTACAAGAGGTGGGGAATATATTTGTAAAGAAAAACAGACACAAACTAGTATACCACAACTAAAGATTACTGTTAAATGTAGGCTGTAAAAATAGGGTTGTAAACATTTAACCTTAAATATAGAGAATGGGAATCTACTTCATGCCGCATTGCATTCCGCCATGTTTTAGGACACGCTCTGGAGCACACAGTGTAAACAAACGCTAATCACCACAGAAAAAGCCGACCGTTTTACATTAATATTTTTTGAAAAACATCTTACATACCCTTAGAATAAAACAGACTAATATGTAAATCTCTTTCAATTAAAATAAATCGCTCTGTTGTGTGACTTGAGAGGCTGCAGATATTCATTACATAGTATTTAGTCTCCTTCACTAAAGTGGTACTGATATAACTGCTAAAACACTTACGAAAATTAACCATGGTTTTATTATAGTAAATGTGTAGCAACTGTGTTTTTGCCATATTTGTTACCATTCATATAACCAGAATTTTATTAGAAATACCATGGTTGAACTATGGTTAGATCAGCAAAACCATGGCTAATTTTGTAAGGGGAGAACACACTATAGCTAGATCTCAAACGGTGGATAATTTATCATTGTTATATATCGCCATATTGCCCAGTAAAACTGCTCAGTGTTAAAGAATTAAGCCATTATAGAGGTAACAGAATAACTTACTATAAAGCTGCTTAGAAATTATGTGTATTGTGAATGCTATGTAAATAAATAACTTAACGTGAATGAATCAAGTTGAAGATTCCTTACTATTAGAGATGTCGAACAAGGATGCAAGCGACCAAATAAATGAATAAGCTTAATACGTACAAACAAGTGGCCGGTTATCAACGAGCTGCTGCAGATAACATTTCCATATATTATTTTTTTCTTTATTTGTGGTGTGAGCACTTACAGTTTAATGCAAATCACTGTATCTATAATATAATACATCTACAGATATCAATTATAAGGCCACATTTTATTTTAGTTGTTTACCATACCGAGTTTCAGTTTAATTTTCATCCGAGTTCCGTAGTGAATGTAGACATTTTATATTATCGGGGGAATGACGTATGAGGTCAGCTTTGCGCATGCGCCGGTGAGTCTCCTGAAAACCAACGTTTGTTTACAGGATCAAAAGAAGCAATGTTTCCTTACTTTAGCCAAGGAAAACAAGCCTCCTCTTGACTTATATCAAAATCCTCCAACATTCTTCTTTACAAATCCTCGTTTTGTACTTCTAATAAGTGACCGGTGTTTTGTTTTGATCCGAGTTCCGTAGTGAATGTAGACATTTTATATTATTTTATGTTTATATGACTCAACAGATCACGTTGGAATGATTAACACATACTGTATCATCAATTGCCAAGGCCTTATCAATGTCTGCATGAAATACCTCTTCATTGCCATTGTAACAACACATTGCCATTCTCTATTGATATGAATCTTTTGACATTGCACATTTATTCCATGTTTAAGCTGTATGTCAATATTTGACAAAATAGTTGGCTAAATCAAGTTTAAAACTCTATTTAATCTTACTTTTAAAGATGAAGTAGAATATCGAAGGATGATGTAGAATCAAAAACCAGACTGGAGCACTTGAATGAGCTGTAAAGCTGCAACAGAACACACACACACACACACACACACTATCGAAATCCTCCAACATTCTTCTTTACAAATCCTCGTTTTGTACTTCTAATTAGTAACCGTTGTTTTGTTTTGATCTCTCCACTTTTGAGCGGAGCATGCGCAAAGCTGACCTCATACGTTATTCCCCCGTAACTGCTTCTGTTTACAACAGTGAGCGCAATCTAGATTCACCCGGAGCCGTGTGAGACACTTTTTTTTATGGAAGGGTGCTTTTTATGTCACGTCTTATTCAGTCCTCTTCAAACTGGCCGGTGTTAACGAGATTTTCGGTTTCAGTGGGCGGGGCATATATGAATATTAATGAGTTTCCCGGACATGCGCGTGGAACCAGGTGTAACTGAGAATGTCAGTTCACGCTCCTTGTATTTCAGCACGTTTAATGGGATATACAGTATATATATATATTTTAAAGTAAATATATTTACAGTGTTGCACAAACTACGTGTTTATCATTTCCTAACAGTTTATAATGTTTTTATTAGTTTACAGTGCACGTTGTGTGCAGTCGTCCCTGACTGAATGATTGCAGGCATTCTTTGTGTAATGTTAGGATAAAGCACAGCAAACTTCAGCTAGTTGTAGCCTATACATTGATTTCAGTTCTTTGTGATTCTCCATGTTGTCTGGTTGTAAACTATGATACAATCATACAGTGCTGCAAAAGCATGCTGCTGAAATTTATTTTTTTCCTGTTTCCAATGTAAAATAGTTAAACATTTTTACAAACAAATGTAAATTTACCAATTAAAGATTATCACAAGGTTTATGGTTCCATTTGCACAGTGAAACCCAAAATCCCAGAACACCTGGATGATTACAGCTACATAAAATAGTTAAACATTTTTACAAACAAATGTAAATTTACCAATTAAGATTATCACAAGGTTTATGGTTCCATTTGCACAGTGAAACCCAAAATCCCAGAACACCTGGATGATTACAGCTACAGGTTTCCAATAGTAGCACAGATCCAACTACCATTTCAATTATTTATTTTTATGCTCTTCTGTTACCTTTTAAGTTTTAAAACTGTCATCTTCTGGCAATGAATGAAATAACATTCACCACCATATCAGTGGCCTAATAAACATTTTGCAACCTACACTGATGTTATTCTGTGACCATGTGTTGCACTGTACCTGGATGATACAATGATGATCATTGATAAAAATGCATGGTCAATTTTGATGCACAACAAACACTCAGGCAACATTATTTATAGGCTAAGTCATAACGTTTCATAAACATATATACTCTTAATTAGACTTTTTATATATATATACATAAACTGTTCCCTCCTGGTGGAATGACCTGCCGAACTCAATTCGAGCAGCTGAGTCCTTAACCATCTTCAAGAAACAGCTAAAAACACATCTGTTCCATCTATATTTGACCCTCTAACACTTGCACTCTCTATTCGTTTTCCAACTGCTTGTTTTCTTTAAAAAAAAAAAAGGCCTCTAACACTAGCTTTCTCTATCTACTTGTTTTCGTTTTGTTGTGTATGTATGTGTAAAGCCAAGCTTCTGCTAAATGACTACATACATAAATAAATAAATAAAAGGGGCCTCTAAATATAAAAAATAAAGTGGAATAAAAACAAGACAACATAGGATACAACAGAGTGTGATGTTAACGTCCTTGTAGAATATGCTGTATAACATTTTGACATAATAAAGCTAAAAAAAAGACATTTCTTAACTTGATTCTGGCATTTGATACATGACATTACCATTCAAAAGTTTGGGATTACTATGATTTTTTTTTTTAAGAAATGTATAGTTTTGTTCTTCAAGGATGCATTAATTTAATAAAGGTGACAGTAAATACATTTATAATGTAAAAAAGATTTCTATTTCAAATAAATGCTGTTCTTCTGAACTTTCTATTCATCAAGGAATCCTGTCGCTGTATAATGGTTTCCACACTTCAATAAGCAGTACAACCAATTTCAACTGTGATAATAATCTGAAATGTTTATAGTGCAATAATTCAGCATATTAGAATTATCTCTGAAGGATCATGAGACACTGAAGAGGAGAAGTTGAGATCTGACATCACAGGGGGAAAAAAAACTTTATTTTAAATTGTAAAATTATTTCACAATGTTAATGTTTTTTAATATTTTTAATCTGATGCAGTTGGTGAACATGAACAAAGAACCTTACTAATACAAATCCTTAGAACAGTATTGTATATATCATATCAAAACAAGCACAAGCACACTTATGATATAAAATTATTTTTTAACATGAAATTAGTTTCTTATTCCATTCCATAAAATGCAGTGAAGTATTTGTTTCCTCATTTACAGTGTACCAAATATAGGCTACTTTTTAAACTTGTGTCCATGCAATTTTGTTTAATCCACAATTTTACTTATTAAAGGAACACTTTCATGCTTGTGTGTGTGGTCTTAGATTCATATTCATTTAGTAAATATAGCCTAAGCCTAACAGTTTAATTAAGGCTGGAATTATGGCACATTGTAATGCTGGGTTGTGTTGAGCACGCCAGTTGTTGGTATTTAGCGAGCACTGAGGGGGGCATCAGGTGAGCAAGCTAGTGAAACGTTGCACGCACAAAAGAGAAGGTCTGCACACATCCAAAAACGTATTTTTAAACCTGCTGAGATACAAGGAGCGTGAACTGAAATTCTCAGTTCCACTTGGTTCCACGCGCATGTCCGGGAAACTCATGAATATTCATGTTTGCTTCGCCCACTGAAATCGAAAATCTCGTAACACCGGCCGCAGCTTCACCACTCTGAGGAGGATTTATTTTAAAGGCGTCATATGATGCGATTTCAAGTTTTCCTTTCTCGTTGGAGTGTTACAAGCTCTTGGTGCATAAAGAAGATCTGTAAAGTTGCAAAGACTAAAG